CCAGCGGGGTGTTCGCGGGAGGGAGGTGTCAGCCACCCGTGGCTGACAGCCGCCCCGCTGCATCCTGCAGGGCTCTGCACTCCCCTGGAGCCTCCCCACGGAGCCGCTGAGCTGGACGAGATGGGCACTGAGGCACTGCCCCGACGGACACCTGCTCCTGCTTGGCTCCCCACTGCCAAAGGTAAGGTGGTCCCCCATGCTCCGCTCCACTGGTTCAGGGTGCTCACCCTACCTTACTGTCCCCTGGGGGCAATGACCGCTCTGCCCCACCATCCCCCGTGGGAGCATCCCTGGCTGAGCACATGTCCCGCTGTCCCCACACAGGTGAGGAGGGGGACTTCTGCCTGCGGTCATCGGACTGTGCAGCTGGGCTGTGCTGCGCCCGTCACTTCTGGTCCAAAATCTGCAAGCCAGTGCTGCGGGAAGGGCAGGTGTGTACCCGGCACCGGCGGAAAGGCACCCACGGCCTGGAGATCTTCCAGCGGTGCCAGTGTGCCGAAGGCCTGGCGTGCCGCCTCCAGCGAGAGCATGGCCCTGCCGACGCTTCCCGCCTGCACACCTGCCAGCGTCACTGAGCATCACTGGATGGATGGACAGGATGGACAGACTCCGGCCCCGCCGGAGCGGAAGGTTGTTTCTCAAGGGAACTACTTTTAAATGACTAATTGCAGTACGTTACTGTGTTGTGAATACTCAAGCTGGCACTTAGCTGTACATAACGCTGGGACTTTTAATGACTTTTTGTTTTTCCAAGGGTGCCGCCTTGTGCTCTTCAAGCCGTGACTGTGACTTTGTACACACTGGGTTTTTTTTAATCTGGGTCAAAGGGATGTGACCGTCTGTTTTTTGAGGGAATAAATGGTTATTTAAAATCAGACCGCGATGCCTGCGCATCCCTGCCTATGCATCCCTGCTGCCGTGGCCCCTCCGTGGCCCACAGGAAGGGATATATGCCCCCCCTGGGGAAATGCTGAAAGGGTATTGGGGTGGCTGATCACCGGCACCCCACAGGAAAGGACGTTACTGTTATATTTATTCAGCTGCTTTTTTAGGAACTGCAGTGTGCCAGGGTAGCCACTGATACCCTCTGGCTGCTGAAGGCTGGGTCACTGTGGCCAGGGCTGTGGGAAGGGCAGGTGGCAGCAAATCACCCTCCTGCCCAATTTTTCCATGGGGTGAGGAGGGAGTGCAGGATCACTGGAGGGGCTGTGCTGTACCCCGGCGTGCAGCCAACCATGGGATGGGTGCGGAGGAGCCCGGTGATCTTGACCGCTCCATCAGCGCGCGAGGCCATGTGGGCTCTTTGCTCAATAAAGACTTATTTCTCACTTCATTTTGCAGCTGTTACTATGAGTTTGCTCCTGTTTGGGATGGTTTGGAGGGAGGGAAAGCTGCAAGTGTGCTTCCACCCCGCCCCCCTTCCTCATCCTGTTTAGCTCCTTGTCTTGTCCAGCTATCACAAGTGGGTGTTAATACGTGCAAAGGGAGAGCAGGGCCATACTGTGCGGCGTGGGGCTGGCAGGCAGTCAGCCAGTGCCAGCAGCTCTGTCCTGTGCCTGCCTGATGGGCTTCCTGTGATCTGGGGAAGGTGTTCAGGATGCAAAGCTCTGCTGGAGTCTTCCCTGCACAACCCCAAACTGTTTGTATCCAAAATCAAAATCTGACTGCAGGGCAGCACATCCCTAGGCGATTCCTAGGACACACTCTCCCATTTGGAGGGATGCTCCAGCAGCACCACACCTTGTTTTGCAGTGCAACCTGCTCACTAGTGGTTAGTATCTCTAGCATTAGGGCTACCTATTTAGGGACCTCAGGGACTGCTCTGGTGCATGGTATTACTGAATCCCGATCCAAATTGCAGCTCTCACCGCAGACTGCAAATAGTGGCTGGTGCTGAACCAAGCTACGGAAAATGCAGAAGAGGGAGCAAACAGCCCCAGGTAGAGGGCAATTATTAAAAAGAGCCTTCCTCTTGCGTGGGTGAGGGTGGCATGCAGGCAGGCTGCAGAACAGAGCTACCTCAAAGCAGAGGGTAAAAAAGATGCTCCTTAAACCATGTGAATGCACCAGGGCACTTGTGCCCACCAAAGTACCTGCAGCAGCCAGCTTGCCAGCTGAATGCAAGCCGCAGGTGCCAGCAGTGCTGTGTGGTGACACTGACAGACAACAAGCATTTAAGTCTCACTGTACTGGATCTGCACTTGGGAACAGCTTTTACTGGGGTTGCAGCGTAGCTGGGGTTGGAGGCATGCCCCTGAAAGTGTTCGGAATTCAAAGGCTTTAACATCGTGCAAGGCTTCAAATTTTTTTTTAAGATAAATTTTAAAGTACTTTTTTAAAAAGATACTTTTTAAAAAATTACTATTTCATAACATACTCGATTATGCCAATAATAATGGCACTGGAGCAAGGAAGGTACACGGCTATGAGTAAAAGCATCAGTAACTATTTAGATGAGTACATATCTGACATGAACATTGGCATTATTTTATCCCTAATACATATAAAATAGTGTCATTATGTTTAGGGTGTTTTTTCTCCATACAGTTACAGCACTCTCTTCTTTCCAGATAGGCCAACACAGATTTTACAGCTTTGAAGGCAGTGAAAAATACGCTCATGTGCATTGAATACCAATGCATCTTTTTGGTCCAGAGATGTTATTATATCAAAACTTGCCCTCTCACAAAGGTGCTTGAACAGAGGTGGAGCTCGGCATTGTCGCACAATCCTTGGGGACAGGTTTTAGTCCCAGGATGGCCTCGTGGTGACATTGGGCACTCTTCAGTGTGTCAGACACCTTAATAAAGTGATTGTTTCAGTCTGAACAACCTCGGGTGCCATTTCTCGTCATTGTCACTACCAGGTTCTCTATCTATTTAGAGTTAATAAAAGCAGCAGGTTTTGGTGGGTGAGGAGGTTTCGCACCTCTTGTTTACTCACTGTTCCCAGTCATAATAATATGCTATTTAGAGCAATAAAAAAACCGGAGCATTGTAAAGGAGCCTCCTCTAATGACTGGTTGCTGGCAGCACAGCTTTGCAGCCTTCGGCAAATATAACCCTTCCTCTTCATTTCTCCTTCAAATTAAACCCTACGACATGGAGGCATGGGACAGGAGCTGGTGATAACACCTCCAGAGTTTTACGTTCCAAGGGTCTGAAGGAGAGAAGAATAAAAAAACCCCAAATCAAACCAGCACATAACCTGGTGGGGTTTGAGCCCTGCAGTGGTAGGGGACAGTATTTAAGGGGTCTGTGTGGGCTGGATGTGTGTCTGCAGTGCGCTCCCTCATGTGCTCCTTCCAGCAGCTACAACCGCAGTATTAAAGGTTTTAAATGCCCTATTCCCTTCAATATCCATTTATGGGCCAATTTGTCACTATTTTTTCTAATTATTGAAATTTTGATAGCCCTTTCTGGACTCTTTAACCACTGGCCTGTTGTACACCTCGCATCTCCGCAGCACTCAGCTAAAAATAATAAAGTAACACTCCAGAACCCCATAGCCCTACCCCAGATTACACGGACTGTCTAAACACAGATAGCTTCATGATTTGAAGAGAAAAATTACATTACTCTTCCATCTATGCTATGGTTTTCCTGAGATTATTTTTCTGCCCTGCAGGTACAGACTTGAAGGCAATGCTTTCACAGAAGCATCATCAGAAAGCCCCTCTGTGCTGCATCTGGTGACAACGTTGTCATAAAATAATTATTCTTCCAAGGGCAGAAGTGGGGCGGATGGGACATGGCATAGTTTTACTACGACTTGTGATGAAATGAGTTTTTTGGTAAGGCAACTACTATTTTCTTCTAATTTTTCTTCCTAAGTTCTTTCAGAAACTAGTTTGACCCAAGGTGTAGCATAAGAAATACCTTTTTTAAACAAAACAAAACCAAAAAAAACCCCGAAAATCCTCAAACCTAAAGCTTTAAAGCAGATGCTCGCACTCCTTTTGCTTCCCCTGATGGTCCCATTGTTTTTGAAACTAAACTCCCATGCCATTAAAAGCACTCGTCTGAGGAACGAAAGCCCTCTCTATACGCATACGCTGCCAGAAAAGGTTACAGAAGTCCTTAAATCCACCCACAGGCATTAAGATGAGAAAAGTTGGGGTTTTTTATACTCCTGACACAGAGCCGAAAACCGTACATTTTGGCTCATAAAGATGAAAGATCTAAATAGGGAAAGCAGGTGAAAAACTTTATGAATGTAACACAAAACTTTCGTTTAGTTTTGGGTGTTTTTTCTTTCTTTCTTTCTTTCTTTCTTTCTTCTCGCTTGTTTGTTTTCCCTTATATTTGGGGTGAGGTTTTTCTCGTGGGGAGCTCACCCACCTGCTGAAACTGCTCTTTCTCATGAGTCTTGCAGCTGAGGGCTCGGTGAAGCAAACCTTGATCTCACCTGGGGTGGGATGCAGTGCATCCAGGTGGCCCCGCTCCTCCTCACCCCTCGCAGAGCATCAAAGGTATGGTTTACCCCATGCCTTGTGCTTCTGCAAACAAATACACTGCATTC